AAATCGATGCATCGCGTCAAGTTATCGTCGATTTTCCGGTTAGCTTTAAACACTCGTTCACCAAACATGTATTCATACACCGTAATGTAATACGCGATTAGAAAATTTTCCCCCTCCTCTTCCTTTGGAAATTCGATGACACTTTCACGGAGTGGAAACTATGTAACGCGCTAGAATAAATTCAGTTTTGTACGAGACACAACCAAACGCGCACGTTTCGCTAAGAGCTTGTACCTCATCAACGAAAATCTCACAATATGGACATAGTCGTCGACATACAAGGTTTCCGCGATGAAGCCAATAAATTTATCGCGAAGGAAGTCGCCGTTGTCGCGATCGATACTCCGATTGTCGAGCACTGGATTATGATGCCACCATACGCGTTTGGAAAAATTACCCGCAAAAGCAAGACGAGAAAACAATTGGCTCTCACGAAATTATCACGGCATCGAGTGGTTCGACGGCTCAGTTAATCCGAAATATTTTACCTCGTATCTCCGCGAAATTGCAAGACACGCGCGCTGCATTTACGTCAGAGGTAACGAAAAAGCAAACTACTTGAGGAATTTACTTTCCAGAGATATAAATAATTTGGAGGGTACCTCACCAGCATTTAAAAATCTACCGGATGAGGAGGATATCGTACAATATTGCGGTCATCACGGGATTCGAAAATTTGGAACCTTTCATTGCGCGTATACAATGCTTATAAATTAAAATGCTGGCTAAGTGCGCAAAATAATTGCGAGAACGTTTCAACCTCTACTGAAGCTACTTGTAGTTCTGACGAAAGTTGGGAAATTACTTTCGACGATAGCGACGATAAATACGAAACCGCCGTTTCTTGCGATGTAAATGAGAATATAACTAAAATACAAATAGAGGAAAAAAATCAGCAAAGCAACGAACAGCAGATTGAAAAAGAAGAAGAAGAGAGATTGTGATTTCTGAATCGTCATCGACGTGACGGACAAGAACGAAACAATTTCCATCTCGACGCAAACTGACATTGAAAACCTCTCAAAACAACTCAAGATAGAAGAAGACGCATTATCGAAAGAGGTAAAAACCGGTATTGTTCAAATAATACCGTACACTCGTTCGTATTCGGGACAAAAAAAAATGAACTCTCGCGAAATTCTACAAGCATTGCATCATCTCGATGCCAGACATGTTGGAGTCTATGCAGCCGACAGAGTTCCGAGGGTGTGGACGAGGTCGACGGCTATCGTCGCTAACACCGACAATCACGATCGACCTGGAGAACATTGGATCGCCTTCTACCTCGATGAACACGGTACAGCCACTTATTTCGACAGCTACGGATTGCCCCCTTGTATCCAGGATTTCTCATCCGACTTCGACGAAACTCCATCATCCATCGTTGGAATATTCAACAATTACAAGGAATTTTTTCTAAGACTTGCGGACAATACTGCTGTGTATTTTTATATTATATGTGCAGCGGTTATAATCTTAATCAGTTTCTCGCTCTTTTTTCCGAAGATTGTGAATATAACGATCGTTTAATCATACACTTATTTCGTAAAATTTTTACTCACAAAAAAATAAGCGAATTATAACAATATATAATATGAATTTTAGTATGAATAAATATAATTTTGTTCTGTAAAAATATTTTAAATATAATCCATATTTGTACTTTAAAAACTATTGTTCAATTTTCTTTCACTTCCTCTTCCAGAAATTTCCTCCACATGCATGTTCCTGTTTACCTTTTTTAAATTTTATTTTTAAAATAAAATTTTATCTGAATCTTATAGAATCATACGACGATGTATATATTATTTTTTATCGTGAGCGAAGCAAATGCTCGCCTGTACAAATATTGAAGTTCTTTATTCCTACGCCATTGTTAGCTACGACCTGCCACCGGTCGACCGCAGACGCTTTTCTTCAAAATGTTTTTACCCCACCCGCTAATATACGAAAATATTGATTCGATTAAAAACCTTCCATACGTATAACCTAATTTTTACCCCACCCCCGTCCAATAATCGAAAATTTGATTCGAAAAGCTATCCTTGCCATACGTATAAATGTTAACCCCCATGCCGTACTCTACGTTACTTTAGTTTAAATACCACATCTAATCCTTAGACTAGTAAGATCTCGTTTAGCTCAAATACTAGGACCCTGCTCGGAAACACGGAGGTCCCGGGTTCAAATCCAGAGAAAATCAGAAAAAATAAAAAATAAAAATTCTCATCCCCACCTTTCGGGGCCAGTCGCCATTTTTTTTCCCCCAACACCCTTTCCCCCTAACACCCACACTCGGAAAAGCCAGACCCGGTGGTGGGGAAAGATAAGATAAGCCCGCGCCAGTACGGGTCGTTGGTGGGGGTTTGTTTTGAAAAAAAGGGCCATACTGTCATTATACTACTTATACGGGAAAATGTTTGATACAAAATTTTTTTTTGACTTTGAGGGTTTCTGACATAAGATGGTGTCATTGACTTGACTTTGGATAGTCGTTTAAAGATCACATAATCAGATGCAATTTTTTAAATAAAAATCTCTATTTTTTAATGCATATTCTTGCATTTCAAGAGCTTTTCGAAACACTTTAATAAAGTATTCTTTTTCTTTTTTGCAATAATATATAGATAGAAAAGATTAAAAAGCACGTAAAATAAAATAAAAAGATGTTTTAGAAAACTGCATCTACAAATTTTTTTATTTTACCTTTAAAAATTATTTAAACAAAAATACCTAGAAAATAAAAAATTCTTAGAGAATTTTTTTAGAAAATTTGAGTAAACATCCTAGTCTAATTACCGTAAAAAATAATTTTGGTAAGAAGCTTGCATAAATAGAAACATCTTCAACTATTTAATAATATAACATATAACTGCAGCATTTTTTATAAAAATTATTGTATGGTATTTTTTCAAACTCATGTTGCAGTCTTAATAATTTGCATCACTAAGATAATAATAAAACACAGTTTATTTTATATGAGTATACTAAAAATTGTATCCTTTAAAATTATAACTATGCTGACTAAAAACAATTCCATTTTTTCCGTGTGTCTATTATACTTACTTCAATATCGTATCTCTATTCGTCTTTTAAAATACATACTTTTAACGACAAGTTACATTAAAGTTTTTAACGTCTATTTTCAATGAGAAAATTATCGTTTAAAAAATAATTTCTAAACCGTTTATCGCTTATCGGCTCAAACCGATAACATTATTTTCATATATGTTACGTATATAATTATACATATATGTATATATATATATAATATATATATATATATATAATTGCAATTCTTTACCTTGTACTTGACAGAACTCTTTGGATAATCGATGTACGTGCGTAGGAGTGTACGAAGATTAGTTTACAATTTACAATAATCAAAATGCTTGAATTATAATCGACATACAGCCAGGATATCATCCCTATATATTCGAAAATGCGAGTTTTTTGGGTTAATATTTATTTAGTAACAGTCTACGATCGGAACTATACTATAGAACTATAGAACTTGTCGAAAACTATAAAATTGTATTGCTTAAATTTAGAAAAATGAAATAATATGCCAACTTTTAGCCAAGTTAGCATATTATGTCATTTTTCAAATTTAAACCAATGAATTTAGTTAGTAGAAGTTTTCGATGAGTTCTACAACATTTTTTAATTAATTTCAGTCATTAAAGCGATAATTAATTTTTCCAAATTTTAGATCACGATTTATGTATATTATATTATAGATATTGAAACGTGTTTTTTCGAAAATTTTTTTTATTAAACTGAGAATCATTTTATTGATGTATTCCCATATTTTGAAGCCCGATTTTGCATTTTTTAATTAGTTTCAGTCATTAAAAGCAATAATAAATTTTCTTCAAATTTCAAGTTCTCGGATATATATACAGTAACTTAGGTTAGCACACGTGATTTTTATATATTTTTAATTATCAAACTAAGGATCATTTCATAGACGTAATTAAAATTATGTATAGAAATTCGGTGAATTAAAATTATGTACATAATAGAAATTCAATGAATTAAAATTATGTACGTAATAGAAATTTGAGAATCCAAATTATATACATAATAGAAATTCGGGAATTAAAATTATGTACATAATAAAAAATAAAAAATTAAAATTATGTGCATAATAGAAATTCGGCGAATTAAAATTATGTATATAATAAAAATTCGGAAATTAAAAGTTATATACATAATTGAAATTATGTACACTCGCGGAGTAAAAATTTGTTTGGCGTGCGCTTGTGTTATCTAGTTATCCAAAAATGGCACGCGAAAATGTTTAATGTATATTTTCTCGTCTCTGACGTCCAACGTGGCTCCAGCGAGTACCAAGGAGCTGTAAATATTGTGTCATCTCTATAATGTGTCAAATATAAAATAATGATATTTTATTTTCTGTTTTCTCGTTTTAGAAGATAGTATTAACGCTATATTACACATAGCACGTACAGCGCGAAAAAACGTACTAAGATCCTTTAGTCCATATTTTAATATACAACACATGATATTGGAGTTTTTGCAGAAGGTGAGTAGAACAAAAAAATGACAATAAAATATATTTATTATTACAAATAGTTAAATGTTAAATCTCACGGCTGTTTCTCAGCAGAACTTTTTAGTCAAAATTTTGTAAAATAATTTTTTCGGCTATTATTATTAATATATGTATTTTGAAAATTTTGCAATTTCTGAGAAAAAACCATACTCGAAATTTATTAGAAACGTAAAAAGGCCGAATATGTACATAAGTATATAAACACTTATATATACATTCTCTCTCAGAATGTTACATATCGATAAAATATATAGTATGTATTTATAAATTAGATTATTGAAATCTCTTTCATTATCACAATGTAATGCAAAATAAATGCAAAATTTTGTTGTCATTCTAGCTTCTTCCGGATGACGCTCACATTCGTGTAAATGGTAAACTACATATTTCTTTGACTAGAGTATATGATATGAAGAATGTCATCATCTCACAATTCGATTCAAGGGAGGACTTAATACAAGTAAACAAATTTAGGCTTATATCATTTATATAAGTCGCGTTGTTATTATATTTATAATCGAAGATCAAAATTGGCATATTAGATATTAATACAAGAAATAAATTACTATAGACGAAATATATATTACTATAGTAACAAGAATAAAACGTCATTCTTTATAATAAGCTACAATTTAATTCGACCAAAAACTGGCTATTTATTTATTGAAAATAACTCGACACACTACGTTTCATTCTTTATTATTGGAGGAAAATTTTATGATTGCAAATTATTTATTGCATATTTATTTTTTTTTAATTTTACATTAATTGTTTTTACATTAATTGTAATAAACTCTTTTCTCTCAAAAAATAAGGCATTTATATCCCTAAATTTTTGCACTATTTTATGTATCAGTATTTTTTTCATAATTTGAGGAAATATATCATATATTAGAATCATTTTACAGCTATTGATTAATTATAAAAAGAAAAGGATATGTAGTTTTCGAGTTATTTTAAAAGTGTTTAATGCTATCTAAAATAATTTTTCATCGAAACATTATTTTACCTAAAACTGGCACGCAAAAATTTTTTGTGTGTGCTTTCTTATTTCTGACATCACAATCCAACATGGCCGCGCGTCGAGGATCCAATATAACAGCCTTAGAAAAACGATTTATATCTAAAATTTTTGTACCATTTTGAATATTAAAATATTACTTTTTTTCTATAGGCTTTACTAGCTACTTCGTTTGTGCCAATATTTTCTGGTTACTTGCCACCAAAATATCGCGACATTAGATACATGGACGGTGCTTTAAGCAACAATCTTTTTCTATTCGATGAAGATACAATTACTATATCTCCATTTTGCGGAGAAAACGATATTTGTCCTAGAGACTTTTCGGCTCACCTTTTTGATGTACGTTTATTATTTGTGTCTTTTGCGGATATAATTGATTTTAAATTAGCTAGATAAAGATAAGATAAAAATATAGAAATTTATCTTAGATAAAAAGAAGATGATTAAATATATCTATGTGGATAAAAAATAAAATTATATGACGATTTATCTAGATAACTTCCAGATAATATTATTTTAAAGATCACTTATTTTTTATAAACTATGTTATAAAAGAAAAGTAAATTATAAAAGGATATAAAAATATATTCATACTTTTATTTATAAGTTTTTATCGCTTACTATACTTAGTTCTACTATTTAAATATTTTTGTGTCCTATGACTTTAAACCAAATTATCTAAACATTATTCTAGATAATTTAATCAAAATTACACTTTTTATCATCTAAGATGCACACACACACACACACACACACACACACAGCTATAGATAATATATATTTTTATTATCTATATAAAGACAAGATAACTCCAAATTTTATCTAGATGATCTATATAATTTTATTTAGATAACAGCAAACACTGGGCATAGATCTATTTCTTCAAAGAAGATAATAAGATTAATGATGATACGAACAAATTAAATTGCTGATTTAGCTCGGTGACTTTTAATTTATCCCTCGTTTATATTATTAATGCAACTGTATATTTTCCAGATCTTTGTCTCTAATATGAGTGTAGAACTTTCTCAGAAAAATATACATAGACTTATTCAGGCATTCTTGCCACCTAAAATAGAGGTAAAAAGAAAAAACATTAGTTAGACCAATTATTAATATATAATGTAAAAATGTTTGAATTATGTATAACATAAAAATATAGTTTTATATTTTTAAATATAGTTTTTATTTTTAAATATAGTTTTATATTTTTTTTGAATTATAGATTCTCTTGGACATGTGTCAGCAAGGACACGACGATGCACTGCAGTTTCTGCATTGTAGAAATTTATTAAAATTGAATCGTATTCACATACACAACAAATACGAGTTTATTCTTCTAATCGATTATGGAATAAATACGACGCAAAATAATAATGATAAGATACTGAAAAGATATAAAAGTATTAGTTTTGTGAAATAATTTTTTAAAAATATTTTAGGAAAAAATTTTAATATAAAATAAATTTTAATTAAAACATAATATTTTGCACATAATATTTTGAATAATAATTAAATGAAATATAATACTGATATGTGTCGATGTCGCTCTTATCAAACGATTACGATAATGAATTAATTTATTTTTAATTGCGAAAATGAAAGGAGGAAAATAGATTTAAAAAACTTGGAATATTTGTTCCATTTTTAATATAAAACGAAGCATATTGTATGTATAAGTTATATGTCTAATAATTAAAACTTTCCTAAATTAAGAAAAATTAACAGAAAGTTATCTAGTTGTAATAAATTTGTCGCGCTTTTCTTTTTTTCAATAGCAGATTTTCAATAGCGCCTCCCAAAGACGTACCGATCTCAAATGTTCGAAACCCCCTAGTCCAGTCCAGGGCCCTCTAATCTATCAATTTTACATGATTTTAAATGGAAAACGATGACATAAGATTTTGATCGTGGGTTCGCGTACTATATTATTTATTTTACAACTGTCAAATTGTTAATTTTTGCGATGACAGTTGCTTGATGCCATGAATATGACCATAATTTTAATTCGCCGAATTTCTATTATGTACGTAATTTTAATATGTCGAATTTCTCTTATGTACATAATTTTAATTCGTCAAATGTCTATTGTATTGTTTGAGAACTATTTTGCATCTCTTTATATATATGTACACTGGTCAAAAAATTATCGCAATACGCAATTAATATCAAAATTTCGCGTAAATTCAAATAAGCATATCTCCGCGAAAAATTATTGTATTTGAAATTTTTTTGTTTTAAAGAATAAAGTCTCTACTTTAAGAAACTTTCTTTCGATTTTGATTTCATCCTCTCCTTCTCTCTTCACCCCTTTAAAAAGTAAGGTGTTTTTTTTTCAAAAAATTGCAAAATTTAACGAACTCTACGGAGTGAAATAAACTTTTTTCGCAATTCTTATCCAAATTTTCATAAAATATGGACTTTTTCCTACAAATTAAAAAAAAGCAAAGTTTGTACGATTTTTTTTTTGGCAGAGTTACGGCATATCAAAGTTATCTATGCATTTTTTTTGCAATTATCACCAGCATTAGCGATACTCCACGCGCACCAACGATGATTGCGCAACAAATTGCTAATGAAGATCTCCCTCACAGAATCAGTGATTAAACAATTAAAAGACATTTACGCAAGTAGATCGCAAGTTCGACATTTTCCTCTTCTAATGTATGAAAAAATGTATGATCTATACATTTGGAGAGAAAAATGTTGAACTCTCGATTTTAAACCACGTTCACGTAAACGTCTTCTAATTGTTTGATCACTGATTTTGTGAGGGAGATCTTCATTAGCAATTTGTCGCGCAATCATCGTTGGTGCGCGTCGGGTATCGCTAATGCTGGTGATAATTGCACAAAAATGCATAGATAACTTTGATATACCGTAACTCTGCCAACAAAAATCGTACAAACTTTGCTTTTTTTTAATTTGTAGGAAAAAGTCCATATTTTACGAAAATTTTGATAAGATTTGCGAAAAAAATTTATTTCACTCCGTAGAGTTCGTCAAATTTTGCAATTTTTTGAAAAAAAACACACCTTACTTTTTAAAGGGATGGAGAGAGAGAAAGAGGATGAAATCAAAATCGAACGAAAGTTTCTTAAGTAGAGACTTTACCCTTTAAAACAAAAAAAAATTTTCAAATACGAACATTTTTCGCGGAGATACGCTTATTTGAATTTACGCGAAATTTTGATATTAATTGCGTGTTGCGATAATTTTTTTGACCAGTGTATATGTGTGTATATATATATATATATATTTCTTATATATATGTATATATATATATATATATATATATGTATATATATATATATATATATATATATTCTCATTTCCTTTAGTTTAATCGAATATAATTACGTGCGCAAAGCGAAGTTATATTATTCTTTGATAAAACCTTAAAAATTGCAATGCATGTATAAAATTATTATTGCGCACATGTATAAAATTATAATTGCGCGAACCAAGTTATATTATTCTTTGATAAAACTTTAAAAATTGCATTTATGTATAAAATTATTATTGCAATGCATGCATAGAAATATATTTATTAATTACGTGATTCATTAGAATTCAATATATACATTTTTTAACAGAAAACAAAGAATATAATTTTCTACAAGAATCTTTTGATCAAAATATCTGCGCTTCCATTCGCGTGTCTATGCGCGTCCGCTACGCTGCACAGCTCGCGCGAAACTGATTCTCGTGCGGGGTTAGTTCGAACTAACATTAATTTTCGATATTATGTGGAATTTTTGTATAAATTTGTATTTTTTAATAATTACTGTAATATAATACTGAGGAAAACCGCGTGCGGTTGAAACGTTTATTTTATAATGATTGTAATTTTCGCTTAAGTTTGAGTATAGAATTTGTAGCTTTCATATAATGTTTTATGTTTAGTTTATACATGGAATAAATTTTATTTGACAGAACAACTCTAATAATTGCTCGATAAGTTGGCCTTTTTATCTATTACTAGTTGTAGGAAATAATAGTTTATTTATTATTAATTAAAATAGATTGAGCGCATAGTTAGCAGACAATAATTTGAAAAAACATTTCTTTTTTTAATTAATGTAAAATTATTTGGGAAACATGTCTGTAATAGCTTTAACGTTTGGAAAATAATTATCACTTGGAAATCAAGTTTAAAGTACGCTTAGTGGACATCGATTGGACAAATTTTATATTTTTTTGCGCCTTCTGATTTAGCTTGAATTTTTAATTTATCGCTATTATATTATTAATACATCTATACTTTGCAGCTCAATGTCTTTAATATGAGTTTTCGAACTTTCTCAGAAAAATATACATAGACTTATTCAAGCATTCTTTCCGCCTAAAACAGAGGTAAACAAAATTTGTGTTATACTTTTTATTAATTCGATGTAAAAATGTCTGAATTATATACAACACAAAAATAGTTTTACATTTTATTTTAAATACAGATTCTCTCGAAAATTTGTTGGCAAGGACGCGATGATGCACTGAAGTTTCTGCAACGTAGAAATTTATTAATATGAATTACAGCATTCACACATCTATATATATAAGCACCGTCCGTCTGTCTGTCTGTCTGTACCCGAACTACTTCCGCATTTGTGGACCGATTGTCTCGAAATTGGTACCAAAATGTTGCAAATTTTTCGGGGGTGGCTGCTGTGGGTTTTTTTTTTTAATTTTTTTATTTTTATTTTTTTTCCTCAGAGGAGGGTATGTTTTTGCAAAAAAAATTTTTTTTGCAATATTTCTGAACACATGGTATCAAAATGTTGCAAAATTTTTGGAGATAGCGACGATGCGGTTTTTTTAAGTGTTACACTTCCACCCACTCACCCACCCACGCATTTACCCACATGCATACGCATTTATGGACCAATTTTCACGAAATTAGTACCAAAATGTTGCAAATTTTTCTGAGGAAACTGCTGTGTGGGTTTTTTAAGTTTACGCCTTCACCCACGCACCCACCCGCGCAATCGCATATTTATGAACCGATTTTTTTTAAATCGGTACCAAATTGTTGCAAATTTTTTGGAGATGGCGACGATGCGGTTTTTTCAAGTGTTACACCTCCACCCACGCACCCACCCACGCGCATGCGCATTTATGGACCAATTTTCACGAAATTGGTACAAAAATGTTGCAAATTTTTCTGAGAAAGCTGCTGTGTGGGTTTTTTAAGTTTACGCTCCCACCCACGCATCCACCCACGCAATCGCATATTTATGAACGGATTTTTGTAAAAATTGGTACCAAAATGTTGCAAATTTTTGGAGATGGCGACGATGTGGTTTTTTCAAGTGTTACACCTCCACCCACGCATTCACCCACACGCATGCGCATTTATGGACCAATTTTCACGAAATTGGTACAAAAATGTTGCAAATTTTTCTGAGAAAGCTGCTGTGTGGTTCTTTTAAGTTTTATCCCACCCATGCATCCACCCACGCATTCAAACATTTATTCACAGACTTTTTCGAAATTTGTACTCAAATTTTGTCCGGGATGGCTACTATATGATTTTAACAAATTTTTATCACTTTATTTATCCACCCACGCACCCACCCAAAAAAAATTTAAACATTTATTTTGATATAAATTTCGTGAAAATCGGACAACAAATGTGGAAGTAGTTCGCGGTAATACAAAAAAAGAATTAATTTTTTTGTGTTAAAACGGATTTAATATAGGCTATATGAGGACCGCGCGAAGCGCGGTCCGAAAAGCTAGTCTTTATATATAAGCACCGTCTGTCTGTATGTATGTACGCGAACTACTTCCGCATTTATGGACCGATTTTCATGAAATTGGTACTAAAATGTTGCAAATTTTTCGGAGGTGGCTGCTGTGGGGTTTTTTTTTTTTAATTTTTACGAAATTATTTAATTTTTGATGAAATTCTTTGTCTAATGGAAGGAGAAGAAAAGGAGTATCTCTCTATTGACTGTATTGTAAGTGATGATCCACAGGAGCAATTAAATTTTCCAACTGAGTTTCTAAACTCACTGACACCTTCTGGAATGCCAGTTCATCGGCTTAAAATAAAAGTTGGTGCTACAATAATCTTATTAAGAAATTTAAATACTAAAAAAGGACTTTGTAATGGTACAAGATTTATTGTAACTAATTTGAAAAATAATATAATTTATGTAGAAGTTATAACAGGTCCTGCTCGAGGACAAATTGTCATGATTCCGAGGATAAATTTAATTACAAATGATTTGGAACTGCCATTTAAGTTTAAACGAAGACAGTTTCCTATTCGAGTGTCATTTGCTATGACAATAAATAAATCACAAGGACAAAGTTTAGAAAAAATTGGAATTTATTTGCCACATCCTGTATTTGCTCATGGTCAACTTTATGTGGCATTTTCTAGAGCAACAAAAAGAGAAAGTGTAAAATTAAAATTGATGAATGTAGCAATCAAGGACATTTAATTGAAGAAAGTGAAAAATGTTTTACAAAAAATGTAATATACAGGGAAATTTTGTAAATTGAAGAATTATGATATTGTATGAGAGCTAATAATAGCGTGTTAGCGGTGGGTACATTAGAAATAAAAAAAAATTGAGTAAAATGTAAAAAAGGATATAATAATTAAGTAATAAAAAAATATTTAAAGTATATATTAACCAAAATAAATGTTTAAATTTTTTGTGGATGACTACTATGTTATCTATTTCTTTCTCCCAGATATTTTATACACAACATTTTGACAGACAACAAATGTGGAAGTAGTTCGCGGTAATACAAAAAAAGAATTAATTTGTTGTGTTAAAACGGATTTAATATAGGCTATATGAGGACCGCGCGAAGCGCGGTCCGAAAGCTAGTTCACAATATACAGTGTTCCATTTTAATGTCCTACTCCAAATAACCTTTTTATTTTTGTAGAAGAAAATGTTTCAGACAAAAATTGTATGGTTCGAAAGGAACATAAGATGGTGCTATTATAGTTTGACCTTGAATAATTGCTGGAAGGTCACGTGAAAGTCACGATCTTGTCTTATAGCTTAAAAAGTTTTTAACGTAAAAGTACTTAATTATAGGGTTTTGAAAAATTCTTGATGTAAACTAGAAGAATATGTAATACAAAAAGATAGTTTTATTTAAGAAATTAAAGGTGACCTTTACGTGACCTTCAAGCAACTATTCAAGGTCAAACTAATGGCACCATCTTATGTCCTCCTTGAAATTGTACAACTTTTGTCTGAACCATTTTCTTCTATAATTAAAAATAAATAATAATAATAATAATGTAAAAAAATAATGTAAAAATAAAAAATTTGGGGTGGGACATTAAACTAGGACACCCTTCTGTATACGAGAATATGTAGCAAGCGATTGCGAAATATATATGGCGCGAAATAATAATGATAAGATATTGAAGACAAATTAGTTTCGTAAAATAGTTTATTTTTTGAAAAAAATTTAGAAAAAGAAAAAATTTTTAAATTAAATAAATTTTAATTAAAATAAAATTTTCTGCATGTATAATTAAATAAAATATAATATTGATAGTATGTGTCGATGTCGCACTCTTATCAAACAATATCGTGCTCTCTTTATTTCTTATCGATAAGATAAATTAAGGATACGATAATCAATTATTCTTCAATTGCGAATATGAAAAGAGGAAAATAAATCAAAAAAACGTGGACTATTTGTTATATTTTATAATCAAAATAAAGCGTATATAAAGTCATATATACAATAATTGAAACCTTCCTAAAGTAATGTTTAAAGCGGGACTGACAAAAACAATTTTATTGTACATTGGCGTAAGAATATTACAATATTAATCTAGTAAAATATCTTATATGTATATTCTATCTATTGGTGAAAGCACAAATCGTTCACGAGTAAAATCTTTTTTTCTAAATAACAAAAAGTAGACATAATTCAAGATAGAAACACAATTCATCGTATATTTTTACACGTAAATATTTATAATCTTAATTTCGATCTTATAATATGTCTATACATTTTTATAAATAGGAACGATATATTAAATTCGCAATTGCTTCATTATTTTTATTATATTAATGTTATTAATATTTATAAATATTGTTTTTATTAATATGTATAACGTAAAAAACTTGCAACTTTATAGACATTCAATTAGTTTTTTAATATATTTTTAAATTTTTAGTGCACTTTAGAAGTGGAATGTCCTTTTAGAAAAACAATTTTTTTATACAGAAATTTTCCCATTTTTCTCTACAAAATTTTATTAGTTCAAAATTGGCGCATAAGATATCTTAAGATATCTTTAAGATGTCATATCATAAGACTTCTTAAAGCTGTCTTAAAGATTTCTTAATAATCTGTCTTCTTGATATCTGTCGTGTCTTTGTGTACTTCGACGGGAGAGTATGGTGGTAGTATGTAGGTGGTATAATTACTCCGCTCCTTCTTATATTGAGCAACTACTTTACTTAATTGATAACTATATTTCACAAGTATTGGATTCTATTCTTTCCGAAACGTGTGTATTACATTATAACTGATAGCCGAGAGAGTTCGGCCACACGCGCTCCAAACTCTTAACTCGCTCGTTTGACCCTACTCGCTACCCGCGCCATGCACTATCACATTCGCGCTTGCTATTTAATCACATATGTAACAATATCTTATGCATCAATTTTGGACTTGGTGTGTTGTCTGGGATGTTACTGATAAATAATTAATTTATTTAGTTTACAAGAAAAATGTATTTATAAGGTAATTAAAACCATTTAAATGGAAATATAAAATAATTTTTGAAAAAAATGTATTTTAACTGCAAAATACAAAATAGGCATTTTACATTTTGTATTTCCATTTTAAAAGGATCTATTAGAAATAATGCACAAAGTATATTAAAACGGAAAAATTTAATTGACAGAAGCACAATCTTATATTTACTACATGTGAGCGAAATGGTATTACGATATTGAGATGTGAAGTTTGCGTTTATCTTAATTTTTTTTATCATTTCACAATATTACTCCCACTCTGTTCAAGAGTCAAGTCCTAAGAGTTCATCGCAGAACATTATTGCGAATGACTGTTGCTCTCGCACGTTGACAGCACATGATCGACTGTTGTAGCGCGTCTCTTTGCACGTGTCAAATGTGTCATTCGCATTCAAGTGATGCATTGCAAACGCATATACCTCCTAACTGGTTCTCAGGGAAGAGATAGAGAGCACTCTTCGGGAAGATGCAGTTCTCGTACGCGCTTCAAAGGAGGAAGTGACAGGTGACAACTGACAGGTGACAGCTGATCGTCTTCCCGCGCGGATTTGTTCCTAGTGAATTTTATTTGTTTCAAATGTGCGACACATAATTTGCGATTATTTCGTTTTTTTACGAATAAGATGCTTCGCGAAAAGGAAAGGAAAAAAAATAGACGACTACGAAAGCGAAAGGGACAGCATTATCTGTTATGGAGACAAATTAACGGCAAGGACGAAAGGTTGAATTTTTCGTTCGCCGGTGGCGGTTTCATGGGCATCTATCATGTCGGGGTGGCGATGTGTTTCAAAAAATACGTGCCGCATTTACTGAACAAAATGGGCGGTGCGTCCGCAGGTGCTATGGCTGCTTGTTGCTTGCTCTGTGATGCATCCCTCGGTGAGTTACACTTGTTTTGGATGGTTTTAGAACCGTTGAAAAAATAAAAATATTTTTCGATAAAAATTAGCTGAATTAAATGTATAGAAACTAACATTAAAAATTGAAACGTCTCAACAGGATGCAGCCCACTCCGTATGAAAAAAGCGGGAAAATCAGGCGTATCAGGGATCTTTTTTACCTTGAACAATTTTATGGAATTTTATTGACATTCTGTGAATTTTTTTCAAACTTGTGTCTAATTTTAGTCTTACTCTTAACATTTGAGAGAGATATATGTCTGAGATATGTATCTCTTTGCAGTATTTAAGTTTTGATTAAAATCTCTTGTTATTTTTTTATTGGCGATCTTCTTACAGTATCATGATCTTGTGTAATTTTTATTGAAAATTATTCAATTTTTAAATAATATTTATATAAAAATACTTAAGACGTTTATAATAAATTATTTTTTATTTTTTTACTTTATTTTTTTATTTTATTTTTCCATATATATTTAGCATTTATATGCAGTAATGCTTTGCACTGTATTGTTATCGTCCAATTTAATTTTACGATTAAATCGATATTAAATGCTAAAAGTTATTATTAAAAATTACAAAGTTATAACAAGATGCAGTCCGCTCCATATAAAAAAACGGGAAAATCGAAAGTGTCAGGGATTTTTTTTACTACCTTAATAAATTTTATGGAATTTTTTGGCACTCTGGGAATTTTTTTCAAAATTATGTTTAATTTTATTCTTACTCTCATTTAGCATTTAAGAGAGATATGTATGTACATTGTTTGAAATATGTATATTTTTACAGTATTTAAGTTTTTATTAAAATCTTATGTTATTTTTTCATAGGCAATCTTTGTTTTAGTATCAAGGTGTTGTAAACATAGAAAATTGTTCAATTTTTTAATATTAAGTAAATAAATTAGTATTTTTAAGATTTGTAATACATTATAATAAAATTATTTTTTGTTTTATTTTTATTTTATATTTTTGCACATAACTTTAGCATTTAGATACATTGCACTTTATTGTTATTGGCCAAATTAATTTTATGATTAATAAATTGATATTAAATGCTGGAAAAGTATTTCTATTCTTGGTAATTTTTGCAATTGTATACAAATAGAAGAAATTGAAAAAAAGTGTGTACAATAAAAAAACTATATATTTTAAAAAGCTGCATCAATAAATTTTCTTACTTTACCTGAAATTATTTAAACGAAAATACCTGGAAAACCAAAGAATTCTCAAGGAATTTTTTTACAAGATTTGTGTAAATATCCTAGTATAGTTAATAATTATCATAAAAAAGAATTTTAAATAAGATTGAATAAATAAAGCCATCAATTGTTTAATAATATAATTGTAACATCATTTTTTTATTAAAATTATTGAATTGTATTTTTTCAAACTTATGATATAATTTTTGATTTTCCAAATTATTTGCATCACTAAAATAATAATAAAACTGAGTTTATTTTGTATGAGTTATATATAAAAATTGTCTTTTTACTGTATTAACCAATCTGCTTTAAGTTATAAATATTAAATTTATATAGCAAACTATAACTTTGCCGTCTCAGCAATTTCACTTTTTCCGTGTTTATTAAACTTAATTACTTCGATATCATATCGCTTTTCTTTTTTATAATACATTTTTAGCAACGAGTTACATTAAGGTCTTTGACTGAGGACTGAGGTTTATCTTTAATGGGAAAATTATCGTTTTAAAAATTTCTAAGTTGTCTATCAACACACTTTTATTATTGGTTTTCATCAATAACATTATTTTCATATATGTTATATAACGTCATACATGTAATACATGATTATATATTTTTACATTATTATGTTTAAAATAAAGAAAAAAATACTATTTTTATATTATTTTTCGATATACTGCAATATTGCAAGAGTTTGGATTTAAATTTGCATATATTCTTATTTTTGTAATAAAAATAAAATATAAATTTCCAATTATTAATGACAGTCACTAGTATTTAAATAGGAATTGTGGAAATAATCGACCAAACTAGCAAATAATAATCGTTTAAATTTCACGACGTTTCGACCATATGGTTGTGGTCCTTATTTTTAAGTGAGAAAGTAAATTTATTAATAATTAACTCATCATACAGCAATAATCAATAGCAATTTTTAGTGAGAAATATACAAAGTCAAAATTAAAATTAAATTGAAAATGTGAGACAGCCACAACATATTCCAACAAGATTCTAGATTTCTAAAATCTGAAGATCCTTTGTTGGGATATGTTGTGGCTGTCTCACATTTTCATTTAATTTTAATTTTGACTTGTTATGTAAAATGGACACATTTGACCAGTCAAAATCATGGTTAAATAACGTTCTGTGTTTGCTGATAACCAAATGAAAAGTATCATGTTTTTTAATATTCGAGTTATGCTTCTTAATTCGTGTTTCCAAATGACGTTTGATTTGCCCAATATAACAGGAATCACAATTATTACAAGAAATCTTATATACTACATTTGTTCTTTTACTGATAGAAAGTTTGTTTTTTTCTTTTTTAATTAATTTGTCTAATTTATTATTAACATTTTCACCTTAGCCATGTCGGTCAATCAATTTCTTTTTATCTTTATTTCAAAATTTCAACTGGCAATTGGATCACTTTTTTGTAAATTTATTTGTTAAAAGACATTCTGTTGCAGAATATATGTAGCTCAAAAATAGAAATAATTTTATGACATTTTTAATTTTATTAATTTCCGTTTTTGCCAGCCTTATATAATTCTCACGACGAAAATAAAATAAAATACGAGAAATACGTCACATAGCGGTAAATGAAAGATGAACTAACAATTTAGTTAAAAAATATTTACAAAATAATTACTATAAATATTTATCTTTACATATCATAAATATTATATGAAATATTTACTATGTTTTAATAATATGTTAGATAAAGGTTTTTATAAAACATTTTCAAAATATATTTATATAATATTTGAAAAAATATATATTCATAAATATTTATGAATCTTTATTATATAAATATTGTGTGCTGTCTAGGTAAAATATGTATAAATACGTATTCCGTTCGTATATCAAATTTCCTAATAAGATCACTGATTTATCGTTGAAATTATAAAATATATTACACGTTTTTCACTTTTTTTTTTTATCATTTCATCTTTTCTTCGATCATTTTAAGAGCTTATCAAGAATGTAGAACGAGATGTAGATCAAAACGCATGAAGTTTTTTTGTTCGAATTAACTAAAGATTTTAAAATAAATATATTTTTTTCTTATTAGCCCATTTGCTACCTGAATTTTGTAATTAAAAAATTTCTACTATGTAAAATTTTTTTATGTATTATCAAAAACTGAGAATTGTGCTTATACAATAAATAAACGATTTTCAGAGATATATGTAAAATAAATTATTTAATTAATTATATCTTAATTTGGTGTCATTTTTTTAATAACTAATGTAAAAGTATGAATAAAATTTTGTATACTTCGTTGTTGTAATTTTATTAAAATTTCAATTACTTCATCAATATGAGAACTTAAAATTTAATAAATCACATATATAAAGCTTCGGATTCATTTCTATCCCTTTTTCGTAATTTTAATAAAATATAATTTATAATTTTTTTATTTTTAGAGGACACTATGAACGGTATATTAAACTTAGCGCGTGTAGCACGACAATATGCATTCGGACCATTCAGTCCATATTTTAATATGCACCACATGCTGTTGGTGAATCTGCAGAAGGTAAGTAAAACTAAAAAAAATGACAATAAATATCTATTATTACAAATAGTTAAATCTCACGGCTGTTTCTCTGCGGAACTTTCTAGTCAAAATTTGGTAAAATAATTTTTTCGGCTATTATTATTAATACATGCATTTTGAAAATTTTGCAATTTTTGATATAAAAAACAATATTCGTTTCTAATAAATTGAGAAGTAAAAATTAAAAAAACAAGAAAAAATGAATATATAAAGCTCATCCAGATTTTCTCTCAAATATTATATATATCGATAAAATGTGTATTTTTAAATTAGATTATTGAAATCTCTTTGATTATCATAATGCAAAATATTGTCATTCTAGCTTCTACCGGATGACGCTCACATTCGTGTAAATGATAAACTGCACATCTCTTTGACTAGAGTATATGATAGGAAGAATGTCATCATCTCGGAATTCCATTCAAAGGACGACTTAATACAAGTAAGAAAATTTATCTTTGCATCATCTATATAAAAGTTGCGATATTATTATCTCTATAATCTAACAATAAGATCAAAATTGGCATATTAGATTAATTCAAAAAATAAACTCAGAAATAAATATTTTTATCGGCTCTCAATATAAATAATATAAGTATGCTGTCTTCTAAGCTGGGCAATAGAGCCAAGGAAACGAAACGAAAAATTAATTAAACGGAACTGTATCTCAATTTGAGATCCCAAAGTTCCACATATAAATTAATTTCGAAACTTACATATGAGAATAAGCGAGAAAAATATAGGTCCGAAAAGTCGCTGAAGCGGGAATCGAACCCGCGTCTTTCACTTTCCGGGCGACTGCTCTTACCAACTAAGCTATTCAGACTCTTTCGATCCTATATTTTTCATTTGCCTTTTTAGTAGATGTTAGTAATACCGCCGTGATTAGCCCAGGCGTGAATAAACTCAGAAATAAATATTTTTATCGGCTCTCATATAAATAATATAAGTATGCTGTCTTCTAAGCTGGGCAATAGAGCCAAGGAAACGAATCAAAAAATAAACTTATCATTTTTGTCTAAATTAAAACTTTAATATAACTATATATAATAACTAGAGTGAAAAGTAATTCTTTATTATTCCAGAAAGTTTACGGTTGCAATTTTTTTTTCTTTTTATAAATTCTAACAATTTTTTCTTTTATCAGTATTTTTTATTTTTCATTATATGAAAATTTTATATAATTTACAAATCGATTTTTTTTTAATATATGTATAAATTATTGTAAGAATCTTTTTCTCTTACATCCAAAATTTTTGTATCATTTTATATACATTGTCCCCTAGGAAAATGCGCTAAAACTAATCAGCTGTCATTTTTTAATGCATGCAGTTATTGAGAAAACAAAAATGAAAAGAGGAAAGTCTGCAATTTTTAATGAATATAAATAAAATGTTTCTATACCAGATTATTTTTATTAATAAAAAGTAATAAAAATGCTAATAAAATCACATATAAATTAATGATAAATATTTTTAACAATGCCAGATTTATCACTTTTTCGTTACTTTTAAAATAAATTAGTATATACAAACATTTTATTTATATTAATTAAAAACTGTAGATTTTCCTCTTTTCAACATTTTGTTTGAAAAATTTTTATTTTCTCAATAACTGCAGGCATTAAAAATGACAGCTGATTATAGTTTCGGCATTTTCCTATAGAACAGACTGTATTAAAATATTTTTTATGCAGGCTCTACTAGCTGCTTCGTTTGTGCCAGTGTTTTCTGGTTTCATGGCACCACAATTTCACGGCATCAGGTACATGGACGTGGTTTTAGTGACAATCTTCCAATGTTCTATGAAGATACAATTACTGTATCTCCATTTTGCGGAGAGAGTGATATTTGCCCTAGAGATTCCTCGCTTCACCCTGTTTGTGTACGTTTATTACTCGTGTCTTTCGCAGATATAATGGCTATTTTTTCACTAAAGAAGTTATAAAACTCCTGGATTCTCGTCACGGCTATGTTAGATTGTGACGTCAGAGGCAAGAAAATACACGCTGCAAATTTCTTAGATGCCATTTTTAAATTAAAAAAAAGATATTTCGATGAGAAAATACTATTTCAGATAAAGCCATCTGAAGTAATGTTTCATTGAAATATCTTTAATTATAAAAAAAACCATGCAAGGAATTTTAACGTGTGCTTTCTCGCCTCTGATGTCACAATTCCACTCGTGTGATTTTTAATTTATCATTCGTCTATTATAATTTAATTTTGATTAATATTATTATTAATTTTATTAATATTATTATTATTTTTATTAATATTATTAATTTTTATATATTATTAATATTAATTTTATTAATAGTATTACTATTAATTTTTATAATATTAATATTAATTTTTTATTAATGTTATTATTATTATTAATGCATTTGTATATTTTGCAGGTTAATGTCCTAATATGAGCGTAGAACTTTCTAAGAAAATATGCGTAGAATTATTCAGATATTCTTGCGCCTAAACCAGAGGTAAGAGAAAAAAATGTAATTATACCGTTTATTAAAACGATGTAAAATGTCTGAATTATGTACAACAGAAATATTTTTTACATTCTTTTTTAAATTGTAGATTCTCTCGAATGTATGTTGGCAGGACGCGATGATGCACTGAAATTTCTGCATCGTACAAATTTATTAAAAGGAGTTGATATACTTAGAAATTCAAAATATACAAGTTATAACTGTTATAAGATATTGGAGACCATAAAAAAAGTAAAATATATTATAATAATATAATTATATTATTAATAATATATATATTAAATATATATATATTATATATATATATATATATATATATATATATTATATTAATTCGATTTATTTTAGTTTTATATCATTATTATTATTATTATTATTATATTATTCTAATATTATAATATAATTTTACTATTATCAACAATATAAAACTATGAAGTCACCAGATGATAATTAATAAATAGTAATAATTCAATCGACCAACTCTGTCCAAATAAGTAATTTATTAATATTCCACAACGTGTCGGCCGTGGGTTTCGGCCCTTATCAAGTGCTAAATCACAACTTTTTTAAAAGACAAAATTCGATCTTAGAATATGCCATGATATTATTATATCATGTCATATTCTAAGATCGAATTTTTGTCTTTTAAAAAAAGTTGTGATTTAGCACTTGATAAGGGCCGAAACGTTGTGAATATTCAATAAAATTACTTATTTTGCCAGAGTTGGTCGATTGAATTATTACTATTTTTTTAATATTATAAGTAAAATAATATTTGAATGTTTTTTTTAGAAAAATTTTAGAAAAAGAAAAAATATAGAAACTGAAATACATTTCAATACATTAAACAAAATTTTTTGCATAAATAATTAAATAAAATATATAATACTGGTATGTCAATGTCGTTCTTATTAAACAATGTCAAGCTTTCTTTTTGTTCGCGATAGATAAATTAAGGACACTATCAATTAATTTAAAGCACTTTCAATTGCGAATATGAAAGAGAGGAAAATAGAGATGAAGAAAAAACTTGGGATATTTGTTACATTTTTAATATAAAACGAATCGTATCGTATGTATAAGTCATATGTACAAAATTGAAACCTTCCTAAAGTAACGTTTAAGGCGAGATTTGACAGAACCAATTTTATTGCACATTGGCGTAATAGCATTACGATACTGATTTGGTAAATATCTAATATATTCTCTCTATTGGCAAACGGACAAATCGTTCGCGAGTAAAATCTTTTTTTTTTTAA